TGAATGCACATCTGCAAGGCCATCAGCAGCCAGCTGTGACAGCACAACTGTGACAGCTTGTGGTACCACTGACAGAGTCACTCTTTGGTACAGCCGTAAAGAAATGGACTCCTGGTTTTATTTTATTCCTTTGTTTTCTCCTCTTCCAAGTCAAATCCAGGTTGAAAAGAGCCATCCTCCCGGTGACTGCTGTGAGCCGACAGGAGCCCAGTGGGGAACCCTGTTGAAAGTTGGCTATGGCTTCCAAGCTGTGGTTTGGCACACGTTCTCTCCAAGACCTCTGCCAAATATTCAGATTTCTTTTTAGTGTTTGGTTGCTTTTCTTTCTTTTCTTTTCATGTTGGCATTTTATTTAGGGGGACCACGTGAGTTCAAGGCTGTTAGTTTGATACGCTTTGTCACCAGAATGGGCTGTTTTGAGTTCTTTGCTGGCAGGTAAAAATACTAGGTGTATGTGGAAGGTGAGCAAATTGCATTGAGAGGAGGTTGTAGTAAAGGTAACATGAAGTGGTAACGGTGGTATTTGGTCTGGTTAGTGTGTGGGAATTTGGCCTCACCTTTGCATGCCAAGTTAGAGAGACCTTTGGTTCCCACTAGCAAAGTGTGGGCACCCACAAAACTGATCTTCCTTCAAAGGTGTTAAGACGTAAGTTCTCCAGCAGTTGGGCTTGGTGAGCCCAGGAGAGGAGTGTTGAGGGTCATCCTCCATGACTTCGCTAAATTTTCCTTTCTGAAGGGATTCCAGTGTGAGCCCTTTATGGGTTTGAGCGCTGGCCGGGGAGTTGTGTCAGCTGTGGCAGCATTGTTCTGGATCAGCCAGAATAAGAAATAGCACTAATAAAAACCTTCAGCTGAGGTTCTCTCCCTTACTCTGTGTGTGCCTGAACACTAAATTAACAAAAATCCCAGATGTGAATCTATAAACCATCTGTTTAAAATAACCATTGTGCAGGGCTGTAATTAAAAGTTATTTATGATGAATCTTGGGATCCTATTATGGATTTGACTGACTCCCAGGTTTCTGACTTAGCAAACAGTTTATGTATTTATGAGCCATGTGTCTCTTCCACACTTCTCGGTGCCAGAGTGCACGTCCTTTAAACAAAAGGAACAGAAAAATCCCCTACCCTCTCATAACTGTTGGCTTCTGAATGTTGCCGTCTAAAAAGTTTTCTCTTAAGACCAGCAAAAATCAAAGTATCTGAGAGCTTTCAACAGCTCCAGAGACGCTGTTGACAACACAGATGAAGGTTTGGTAATACAGCTGTCCTACATGCAGCTACTTAGTGACTTCTTAAAATGTATGGCTGGGACAAGTAATGAAATGTTATTATTACTAAGGGTAGAAAGGGACATATTTGGAAAGGAAAGGATTTGTTGCTAAAGACCATTTGCTGTCACCCTTCGCTTTGCCCTTGCGAAATAAGAGGGAAGAAGGCAAAATCAGGACAAGCAGATGGACAGTAGACACTGAGCAGTGTTTTGGGCGAGAGGGTGAAGGGAAAAAAAAGCTCCTGATGACAATTGCTCTTTGTTTAATCTTTGTACTTTTACACCCAGTGGGCCTGCGAGATCTGCACTGGATAATGCCTGACTGCAATAGACTAAACAATGATTTACCAGCCCTGGTTTATCTGCTGCTGTCCTATGACTGATCAGCATGGTACATTAACCCTTTCCTGTACATCTGCTGGCTCCAGTTTTCCACAAGATGCAGCAGTAAGATAAAACAGGATTTTTTTGAAGAATATTGGGATTAAATCCTGTCCTAGAAGCAGCAAGAGGCACATGAATGCACTGCCCTGGAGCTATGCTCATCTCTTCATAGTACAGAAGACATTTTGCGATGATGACTATGCCAGAGCAGTATGTTGCAGTTGTGGCCCTACTGGATGCTTCTTCAGCATAAAACCCCAAAAGGAGCAGTGGGGGCTGCAGCCATGAGTGCTGCTCAGCCCAACCCCAGTAGCAGGGAGTGGGGCACCTCGGCTGGCACCTGAAACACGCTTTTGGAGCCGTCTGGGGCTTGCCTATAATACCAGCTAGAGAGGAGGAACATCAGCTTTGCAGATCCCGCCCTACTTAAGTGCTTAGCTTCACTTGTGCTGGCAAAGGCTGTCTCTGTTTACCTGGGATACGCTGACCTGCCCCTGTGGGAAGAAGGATGCAGCTTCACCTCCAAGAGACAAAGCTGAGCTTGCTCTTTTCTTTAAATAAAGAGGAAAAAAAGGGATGTGTGTATGGCACTTCCCTTTAAGATAGTCAACCATGTTCAGTGCCCTCCATATCCAGAGGCAATTCAAAGATTCATCCCCTAGTTTCCCCACAAGCATCCTTGCTCTTGGGACTGATGGCTTTTTGGGAGCATGAGGAGCAAGCCCCTCTTCTGCTGAAGCTGGGTCACTGAGACTCATGTAGTTAGTTCAAGGTCTACTGAGATAAAGGAACTAGGAATCTATAGCCTACTGCTTAAGACACCCTCCGAGAGGGAAGGACCCTTCAGTTCCTGTCACTGCACTGTGGGCCACTAATGTTCTTTAAGTGGAATAGCTGCCTAATGTAAAACAGCCCTTGGCACCAGTATATGAAATTCCAGATTTTCCCTCCTAGCAGCGGGCACGTACAGCCCAGCTCATTTTTGTTTTCTCATTCCAGTTGCTTCCATCCGTACGTGTAACACAGGTCCTGAGTTTGGGGTTGAGCCACCAGCATCGCTGGTGATAAAGGAAGAAGAGTAAGATCCAAACCTGGCTGCACGCCTGGGCTGGCTCAATGGTACCAAAAAATAAATTGGTGAAGATTGCTGATTTAAGTGGGGGGCAAACAGGAGGCTTTTACTTCGAAGCAGTAGCTGTCATGTCTCTCTTGTTTGAAATATGTTGGTGTCATCCTTAGGATCATTTTGCATTGCCAGCAAGAAGCAACTACATTAGGATGTACCTGAGGGCAAAGGGAAGCAAGCAGCTGGTACTCAGGGTTCTCAGTGTGAGAAGCTGCCTGGGTAGCTGGTTTGCGTGAGACATTTGCGTCAGAAGTCCCCTAGGAATCTGGGAACGAAAAGGAACATGGATCTGCTTTACTCCTCATCCCTCCTGCAGTAATAATGTCTTCCTTTGAAGATGGAATCTGATGGGTAGGTGCCTACTGGAACCCCTGATATGGGTCCAGCCCTGCTAGGTTGGCATAGAAGGGCACCATGCATCTCATCTCGTAGAGGTCCATGATGCACGCTGCAGCTTGGTAAAACAAAGGAGACGTACTCTAAACCGGGTTTTGCCTTTCTTTCAAACATGATTTGAACCATGCACAAGATTTTCCTACAGACAAGGGCAGTGGGGCTGCTACACTTGATACATTTGAGCAAACTCTCCTCAAAGAGAATCACATCTTAGCAGAACCCTTTAAAATACAGACTGTTCATAGTCGATCTGGTAAACTGGATTCCGCTGCCCTTCAACAGGCTTAATGGAGGCAAAGTCTCACTTTGTTCAAGTGGCACTGTGTTCACGTAAAGGGAGCCAAGATTTTACCCTATGCTCTAAAAAGAACTTGTTGAGCCAGTTGCAATTCTGTGCTGTGGCTGCTTTGTGCCAGTCCAGAGCTACGGACTTACCATAAATTCAGCTTAACTCACCAGTTAAAATGCATTTATGGTTGCTCTGCGATGCTGGAGTGATGCAGGGCAGCCAGCACTTAACAGTGACTAGCAGTGACCTGGCTTTTTACAGTAGTCATTTGTGTTGCTGCAGCTGCGCTTTAGGGCTTGATTCTCATTTGCCGATTTCACACTGGCTTGAAGAGAGTGCTCATTTACACTGATAAGATTGAAGTGCCTTTATAGCTCCCATCAGATCAGGCAGTGACTTTGAAGAAAATAAACCTCTGATTTTAGACAAAGAGCTGGAGTGTAATAATAGCTGCGTGTTATCCTTCACAGGCACCTTGAATAAGGCCACAGGGAGCGAAAGGGAAAGACTGGAAAGCACAGCCTTTTCTCCTTTAGTTTTATGATTTACATTTTCCTAGGCTGTTGATTTTTTTGGTCTCTAATTAAAGTCATAAGAGTGGGTGAGGTGAGTGCTTGCGTCTAGTATAGATGGCCACCTGTGTCACTTAATGACCCAAGATACCAATTATAGGTGGAGGTGACTTCAGAGGGCTATTTGCAGTCAGGAATTTCAAGTAGCAAAACTTCTCTGCAGGAAACACCCAAAGTGTTTGCTTTCTGGCCTTGTTTAAAGGCAAGGATAACCAGAAGGGTTGACACCACAGGGGAGAGGCAGGCTATAAACGGGGTAGCTCTCCTACCTGCTGTCACACATTCTCTATTGACATTCCTCAATGTGCTCTTTGGCCTTGGCCATCACTGACTCTTTGCCATAGAAATGTGACAGTAATGTACAGTGATGCTGCCTGCTTGTGGTGTTTCATTGACTCTCAGCATCTCGGGGAGAAAGATGAATTGCGGTAGTCTCATTTTCAGTGCAGTAGCTTCTTCTGAAGGACCTCTGGGTAGCTTGGTAATACCGCTAGTTAAAATGACATTCAGCAGTGGCAGAGAGTTTTGTTTTCTCTGAGGCTGCCAGCTCTTCCTCAGCCATCTGTCCTTTTGTCACCGTGAGAAATGATTCTGGAGCTGTGTGGTTCATGGGGCAGCACAAGACCCCAAGGATATTTTAACAAGAGTATCGTGTAGCTCATTGCTCATGTAGGTAAAGTGGATTTCTTCAGTGGTGCATATTTTCTGTCTTGTGATGGGTAGTATTCATGAATTACTGCCTGAGCAGAGTTTAAACACCATTTACTTGGCCTGCTGGATAATTCAGACTGTTTTCTGCTATGCTCCTTCAAGGGGAGAAAGATGCTTTGAAATCACAAGGACCTTTCCTGAAGAGAAAGAGCAGAACGCTCGCCTCATATTTTACTTTCTGAATGGCAAGAAATGGTAGCTGTGGATTTGGTTTGCTTGCAATAGCTTTTTGTCTGTTTTATTTTTCCAGAATAAGGAAGTGACATGCAAAAGGGAGAAGTGTCCAGTGCTCTCCAAGGACTGTGCTCTCGTCATTAAGCAGAGAGGAGCTTGCTGTGAGCGTTGCAAAGGTGCGCTTCCCTTCTGGTTGTTTCCCTCTTCTTAAAATGTTATCGATTCACATCTGTGTTGACAGAGATTGGACAAAGTTGGGAGCTTCTCGGCTGGGACTTACTGTCACCAGAGGCTAGAAAAGGACATTAACCATAATTAAAATTAATAGTTTTACAAAGCTGGTGGAGAATGCATAAATTCGTGTATGTGTCCTGTAATTATTAGTTCTTGCACAGCAGCAGTCCTTTAGAAATACATCTTTACTGTACTTTGTTGGCATGTTGTCAGTCTTTTGAAGGGATATGTCCTTTGTAACTATCAGAAATATTTTAGATCCACAGCCATCTGCTAGTAGCAACCAGTCAGTACGAATTCCTTAACCTTTTGTGTGGTTGGACAGAATAGGAATAATGCTTCTGAGTAATGAAGAGGAGAGTAATTATCCAGGACTCTTTTTATTTCTCCTCGTATTAGAAACAAATCAACCAAATGCTGTTTATTTCCCTAAATGTTCCTGATTAAAATCATCATATCAGGGATCCTTTTATTAAATCTGAAATGGGCAACAATCTGAACATATACATTTATTTCTTGACCAACACTGTATTTTCCAAGCTCTTTAGAATGAGGTAATTATCAAATAAATGCATATATATATAAAATTAATAAATTGTGTAAGCATTCTTATCTATGAAATATGTGCAAGTAGATGAAGTTGAAAACCAGTCTTTTTTTTATACTGATACAGTAATATACTCTAAAATACTGATTTTGCTGAGGGACTGCTGATGCAGTCAACGAGGTGGAGAATGTCATACTGAGACAGCTTTATTTTTCTCTGTTGTTTAATTCTCCAGTGGTGACGGAGTGTTTCTGAGGGGGAGATAGGGTAGGATAAATTGTTGGGAGATGCAAACGTTTATTGCCTTCCCAAAGGGAAATACAAATGCAGGAAAACAGATTATGCTGAAATTCAGATGGAAGAGACATGATGGATATGTATTTTTCCTGGATGGTTGCAGAAGTGTGTTAGCTGCTGCTGTGCTCAGTCTTTGCTTCTGTGCTGCAACTTTGAAATAGGTTTGGCAAGCCACAGTTTGAGGACTTGTCTGGAAGTCTGACACTTAAAAGGAACTGAAATAAAAAAGTTAAAGCATTATTGAAACAGATTTTACATAAATGCAATTTATTTCTTTTGTCAAATTGTATTTAATGTCAGCTTTATAGCAAAAGATTCCTGAGTGTTGCTTTGATTAGGCTGGAGGTTGATTTTTCATTTCCGTAATGGGTTGTGTAGTTAGCAATGGCCTGAAAATTTTATATTCATACATATGCATATGTGCACGCATGCATGCGTACAAAAACAAAAGGTTTCAAAGTTGAGGACACAGATATTATTTTAATATATTATTTTAATTCAGACTCCTTGTAAGGTTCTCTGTTTATCCTGAACTGGGGCAAGTACCTACAGAAAATTACTAATAGGCTTGAGCCTGTCATCTGCAGATTGCCTGACATATCTAATGGGAAAATTAATAGAAACTGTTCAAAAACAGAATCAGGAGGCACATGGATAATTGTGATGTAAGGGGAAAGAGTTATGTCTTACAAAAATCCTAGTCCTTTGGATGTATCAGTAAGCATATGGACAGAGATACCCGACTAATAGGCGTACAGCAAGATCTCTCACCAGAAGCTGCTAAAGAAACTTTAGTAGCCCTGATTTTGCAGAGAAGCACTTCTCATCAGTGAATAACTAACAGGTGGTGACAATGAGTGGTTGTTTTCATAGTGGAAAAGGTTACCAGCAGATCATAGCAAAGATCTCAACTTGTCAGTGTGCTCAGAAATGAGCTAGAAAAGGGGTGTAGAGGGACAGAAAGCTTCCTGCTGATGACCTCTCTTTAGCTTAGTAAAGGAGGAGGGCTGCCTGTCAGGAGTTGAGAAGGGTCTTAACACACTGCACAACTGATGACAAAATGGCAAAGGAAGTTAACATAGATGGGAATAAACATGTGCATGCAGGACAAAACAATGCTAGCTACAGATACAGTAACGGGCTCTGAGCTGGCAGTTACCAATTAACAACTGTTTCTCAGTGTTACAAAAGATACTTCTCTGGGTGGATCAGCTCAACCCCAGTAGCTCTTCAAAGGGAAAACTGAACATTGGGTTTACTAGGAAAGCAATAGGGTACAAACCAGAATGCTCTGATATTTTTCTGTGTGAGACCACAGTGTCTCCACTGAGGGCATATCAGGTAGGCTGCTTGTTCACTCTCCTCTGGAGGCTAAGGTAGAGCTATGGAGCTTGCACTGTATTTTTCACTTTGCCATGGGTATCTGTTGTTGGCTGCTATCAGATACTTGCCTAGAAGGACATTTCTGAATGAGTTTTTCTACTCTTTCTGAAAGATAAAGCAAAATATGCACCTATATACCTATAGCAGTCCTGACACCACACACTGTCACCAGGTTGTTCTGGTGCTATGGGAAGATGTTGATGGAGCCAGATCTACCTCCTGGGAGGCTGCTTGCTCTCCTGCCACTCCAAATGTTGCTGAAGCTCTTGCTGTGTAATGCGGGTATGGGGAATATTTGGGGAATCATGGGTGCAAATGCCTGCCTAGCACTTCACCTACTCCCTTTGGTGTTGTAGCAGCTCCCCGGCACTCCCTGTGTGGAGCTGAGATGCAGCCAGGACTTTGCCCTGCAGTGCTTGTTCTCAGTTCTATTTTGTCAGCCTGCCAGAGTGCCCATAGGGAATGCAAGCAGGAAAAGGGAAACCGGGCTTTTTCTTTTTTTTTCTGATTTATTCTTTCTTTTTTTTTTAGACTGGTTTCATTTCATCTAAACGTGAAAAGAATATTACAAAGAAAAGACATCAGAACCTGATGGCTTTTTTCTTGGCTTCATTCCTGAAGCCTAGAAGAGCTTAATCAGGCCTTAGGGGCTCTTGCCAGCTCTATTTGATAGCTTCATGTCTTCCTACCCTGTGAAGAAATGAATGAATGAATGAATGCATGAATGAATGAATGGTTGTTGTCATTTGAGCACATCATCAGCATGATGACATCAAGACCAAAGGGTATGTTTCCAGAACTGGCTTCTGTAGGAAGGAAACCGCCACTCATGAGTCATTCGTGACACTGCTGCCAGGACATTCTTTCTGTTGTGAGGAGTGCATAAGAACTGGGTATGTAGGCCCAGTATCTCTGATAGCAGAGAAGCAGTCTGATACTATATACCTGCCATGGTGCATCCAGATGAAATCCCATATTAAAAGCTGTGCACACAGGAGAAATGGAATTGTTGGCAGACAGTGGTGAGCGTTATCTCCCTTGCTTTGATTTGGGTATTTCTATGCCACTTAGATAATTTTTAGCACTTTATTTCATTTTTCTTAATAAAAAAAAGTAAGAAACAGCAGCAAGTATAGCTTCTGCAGTTAGAAAACTCACTGTGGTGGAAACAACATGTTATCCCTCACATATTGAAAGATTTGGCTTAAGATTTTAATACACCAGACTAGCAGTGTGTTTGAACACTGTTTTTGTCTTTAAGCCCATAGGACCTTGGATAGTAAAGTCTGTGGGGCAAGGCTCGCTTTTGCTGTGTGTTTATGCAGAGTCTGGAACAGAGAAATGTGAGCCCATGATTATGGCTCCCTGCTGCAAGGAGAATGCAAACAACTAAGTATAACAGTGCAGATTTTCAGAGAGGTTAGTCTTCTAACAGGTACTAAATGCAGCTTATAAAACATACCCTATACCTCTAGCATACTATTCATTTTGAAAATATTAAAAAAATTAAGCCCTTTCATTACTTTAGCGTAGGATAAATAGGCCACTTTTCATCTCTCATTTTATTTCATATGTTTAATGAAAACGTATGAGATCACTGAGATTATAGAAATAGATTTGGCAGCATTTTCTTATTTAGTTAGATGGAGACCTGTCACTTGGATGTAGAGCTCTCTACACCTCTAATAATAACTTACTTGCTCTCTGAAGAAGTGGTATTAGTGGCTCAGGGCTGCATAAAGTTTGCCTTTCTAAAATGGTGCTCCATATTCTACTCTCTTATCCTAAGAATCTGAATCTTCTGTGGATGTGCAAAGACAAAGTTGGTGGGTATTTGTAATAAGAGATTTCTTCTGAAGTTTCTTTCACTTCCCATGTGCGGTTTTGCTTTTTCTGCCCTTGTAAACTTCTGAGGATTACTGTGGGGGTTTTTTTGCTGTGTGTTTCATTTTCATAAATCAACGATCTTAGAGGTTCACGAGCTGTGTTTCATTGATCTGGAGTCTACAGAGAATGGAATCACAGCCCAGGCAACAGCAACACTAGTTCCCTGTAATATTGAATATTCAAAGCTATCGTAGCTAATTGGGCATTTCTTGGATATCAAATATGGTTGAGGATTGCAGCCAATTTCAACTGTTAGGGCTGGCTTGCAAGGGAAGTTAGAGGGAGGTTATGAGTTTATCAGTGCTCTGGGTACTCTACTAAGGCCCTGCAGAGGCCATGCATGCATTCAGCACTTTGCCTGTGGACACCCCTAGTATGAGATACCTGATACCAGTTTGGTGCCCTGCTGTAACACTGATCAGCTGGGGCTTTGTGTGGGGCCCTGCTCAGCACTATAACTTGCAGCTCATCCTTTCATGCTCTAAGGCAAGCTTGCAGAGACAAGGGTGCAACCCAGTACGTGGATGGAGGGTGATAGCCTGGGAAGTTCATAATCTAGTCCTGGCATCTGTCAGAGACAGGTTATGGAAAGAGATGTTTTGAGGACATAATCAAGTCTTACTTTTTTTCTTGGCCTTTCTTACTGCCTCTTAGTCTCTCAGGCTTTTGGTGATGTGCTCCAGCTCTGAACCAGGACTCCTGTTTCTTGAGATTGGAGGTTTGCCTCAGCTTTCATTCAATTTCTAGCTTTGTATTTCAAGCAAAGGCAGGGGTTTTGAAGCAGTGACATACAGCCACTAAGGACAGTATCATCCAGTATCAGGTTAT